GCATAAAAGAAGACCTCCTCCTTGAGAGAATGCGGAGGGACTGAGGACGGAAAATCTTTCCACCACAGGAGTCAGGTTTGTCTTATTCTGTGTCCAACCCCCATCCGACTATCTGACTTGTCTCATATCAATACCTCATGAGTCCCACGCTTAGGGAAATACCACCCTTGATAATGTTGTTGTTGTTGTTGTTAGGTGCCATTGAGTCAGCTCCGACTCACAGCGACCCTACGTACAATAGAAAGAAACACTGCCCGATCTTGTGCCAGCTTCACAATCCCTGCTATACCTGAGCCCACTTTTGTAGCCACTGAGTCAACTCATCTCGTCGAAGACCTTCTTTTTCATTGACCCTCCACCTTACCAAGCATGACATCCTTCTCCAGAGGATGGGCCCTTCTGACAACATGACCAAAGTAGGTGAGACGAAGTCTGGCCATTCTCACTTCCAAGGAGCATTCTGGCTGCACTTCTTCCGGGACAGATTTGTTCGTTTGTCTAGCAGTCCATAGTACTTTCAGTGTTCTTCACCAATACCACAATTCAAAAGCATCAATTCTTCTTCGGTCTTCCTTATTCATTATCCAGCTCTCACATGCATATGAGGCGATTGAAAACACCATGCCCTGGGTTAGGCTCACCTTAGCCTTCAAAGAGGCATCATTGCCCTTCAGCACTTTAAAGAGGTCTTTTGCAGCAGATTTGCCGAGTACATTACATAGTCTGATTTCTTGACTGCTGCTTCCATTGTTGTTGATTGTGGAACCAAGTCATATGAAATCTTTGATAACTTCAATCTTTTCTCCATTTATCATGATGCTACTTATTGGTCAAGTTGACCCTCGATCGTAGATATGCAGAATTTAAATTTTTTTTCAGTGTCTCTGACTTTGGAAAGTTGGGACTGGTGAGGAATGGCAGCTCCTGGCAGTTATAATCTCTTGTGCCCAGGCTTGGCAGACGTTGCTAATAATCATGGCCTTCCTTCCTGTAACACCTAGGTGCAGCTTTAGCTTCTGTAGTGCTGTGCTGTAGGTGGTCCCGATTGACTAGATCTGGTACCTGATGACCTCTCTGGACCAGGTTATCTCCAAATCGTTTCCACAAAAGGAGCTCTTACTATTCCCAGCTCCCATTTGCCAGGCAGGGAAAACTGGGGCTGAGAAGAAGATGGAGGGTAGAAAGGGGCTGACAAGCAGGCAAGCTCAGGGAGTCCAGCTGTCCCCTCCATGTCTGGTGAGAGCCCTGAGCTGGCCAAGAGCCAAGTAAGGGGCCACCTTACACCAGGTGGAGATGGAGCAGTGAGCTAGGAGTCGGTCCACTGTGGATGAGAATGTGGATATGGGGAGATGGGGCAAGGAGGGAGCAGCTGGCCGGGGTGGAAAGA